TACAGCTGATATTCCTACAGAGACCTACATATTTCATAAGATTACTTTTTCAGTTTGAATTACTGAAAACTTTCAGGAATAAAGCTTCTTTCCAGATGACGCCAGTTTCTTTTTCCACTAGTTTTTAACATTAATATTATCTAAAAAATATATATATATAATTAAATAAAATAAAACGAAAACCTTTTATGGCCAATTATGGTGTTCAGTTACACTAGCTTTCCACATTATTCTTTTCCAATAAAAGACATAAAACATTCTATATCCACTTATGGCCACTGTACTCTACATAATAGTCTTTTCTCAACTGTATTTTCCATTCAGATCTAAAGTGAAAGGCTGCCAGAGATTAATTTAGACTTAACTCTGATGGCTGATGTTGCAGGACGGATGTTTTTTTAGGCTAAAGCAACACAAGTGTTGCGTCATACCCAACCTGAACTGCTGTGTTGTGCTGTGATCAAACCATTGCATCGTTTCATTTTTAGACATGCGTGATCTTACACTGATTATGCTTAACTGCAAGGTAAATGACCTAAAAGGAGTACGTTTTAGGATCAAGGTCATACGGCAAGTTTTAGCACAACCTGAAACTCAGTACACATATTTATTTCGGCCATTATCCAGATTTTACTATGCATGTAAGCAGAGTAAACAAATGTACAGTTGTTCTGGTTGCTTACAGGTCTAACTTCACCTGCGTTCTCATTAAACACAACTTTAATTGAAAGCAGACCAATGCAATGATGCCCTTATGAAACCAACAAACAGCAGAGCAACAGCGCTGACGCTGGCATTTACCTTTCAGCTTTTCTGTTTACCCACACTCTACCAATGGCCATCCGAGTGAGCAGAGAGAAAGTCAAACAGAACTAGTTGTGATTAGTCTGTCTAATTGTAGGACAGAGCAATGCATTTGTTTTCAGGCAATGTAATAAACTCAATTATAACAATCTAATTTACCTGCATTTGGATGTACAGCAGCAATAAAGATATGTAGCATTGACACAGCAAGACACAGCTGGATGTTTTTTTCTCATTTTGTAAGAGGGTGTCAACAGGAACGTAAGGGCTCTTGTGGAGGTCATCTCATTATGCTGGGATAAAATGAGCTTTGCAATGTCATCTCAGCCTTTGACTTTATGTCAAGATGTAGTTTCATGTGACTCAGAATTATTGGAAAAATCACAAAGTGTCTGATCACATGGTATTGGACTTTGTAAGGCTCAATGAACAAGAAAACAGATTGCCGCAACCTCTGTGACTTTATTTGATGACAGAAGATGACAATCTACGAATCTATAAGTCTTGAAGATACATCTATTGAAAAAATGAGTTGCCACAAAGGCTGATCTTATAGCAAAAAGTCAAAAGGTACAAAGCTCTCATTGTGGCGTGGGTTTCTGCTGTCGGCCACATGAACAACTGCACTGTTTTTTTAATCAATATACAAAAGTCTATTATATAAATGCTATTATACGCCATCAAACCCACAGCCACGGATCAATAGTGTTATTGTGAGTGTATATCTGGAGTAAATACTAATACCTAGTGATAATGTTTTAGTGAGCTGACATTTATAGCACGATAGTAGAAAAATGTTGACAAGCACAGGATGAACAATTTGATAAGTCTTTCTGATTAAATGCTCATGTAATTGAATTATGGCAAGTTTTATTTCATTCCATTCTTTTTCATAGACCCTTTTGTATGTGTGTGAGTTGTTATTTTTCTCCGACCACCTAATCAAATAACAAAAAAAAAATGCATATGAATAAGCAACACATCTTACTCTATTATTATTATTGAGCTTTATTCGCCAAGTAAGTGCAAACACACAAGGAATTTGTGTTTTTTTTTTTAGGAGCTCTTGGTACAAACAAATAAACATACATACATACATATATGACATTGAGAACAGAAAGAACATTTAAATAAGTCCAAGGAAAAATGATGGTGGAGTGTTTGAAGCAGGAGAGGACTTCACACAGCTCCAGTGATCTGTTGAAGATAAGTGGGACGATGGATGACAACTGGACAGCACAGGCTTTGAGGCCGGCTGGAGAAACACCGTCTGGGCCTTTGGCTTTCATGATCTTCTGTTTCCTGAAGACTTTACATACATCATCTTCACAGATCTTAAGTGTAGGCTGAGAAGCAGTAGGGGAGAGGGTGTTGATGGCTGTGTTGTGAGATGTGTGTAGGGTGTGAGACCAGGCTTTTCAAACCTGCAGTAAAACTCATTCAAACCGTCAGTTAAAACTTGATTCTCCACAGTGCTGGGGGATGGGGTCTTGTAGCTGGTGATGGCTTTCAGGCCTTTCCACACTAAAGCTCGTTAGATGAAGCGTGCTGTCCGGGATGGCTCCGTTCAACCAGGTTTCCGTGAAGCAAAGCGCAGAGTTTAAAAAGTCCTTGTTTGTGTGGGTGAGGAGTAGAAGTTTGTCTGTTTTATTTGCTAGGGAACGGAGATTCGCCAGATGAATTCTCGGCAGAGGAGTCCTAAAACCGTGCTGTCAGAATTTCACGAGCGCGCGTTTCCCTCATTTGCGTAGCTAGAATCACTTGTATAAGATCACAGTTCCTCCGACTAGAATGTCCAGTAAAACGTCTGAATGCTCAAAAGTCGGCAAAAAGTTATTTGGTGTGCTATTTCTGATGTCTAGGAGTTCATCCCTAGTAAAGCTGATCGGAAAAAAGGTACTCAAAACAGGACAAACAAACAAAAATAGTAAAAGTACCAAGTAGCTAAAAACCGAGGCAGCCATGTGTGGCGCCATCTTCTCCCATCTTCCCATAAACATTTCAAGCAGTAGAATCCTACATTTTTTTCACAATTTTATTAATATTTCATTTAAAATGACAACTTAATGCAATATGTATATTGTGCACATATGCTATTTTATTTTAATACTTATGCCTATTTTAGTACATTTTTAAAATCAATTTAATATTTAATTGAATATTATAGATTATTTATATTGGAGATGATGAGGATGATGATGATGATTAATTTGCCTAATTTAAATAAATAGTTTTATATGACAATCTTTTATTAGTTTTTTAAATTTTATTTATTAATATATGTATTCTTATCTACTTCCATCATCTCAAGCTGAATTTTTGAACAGGATGAGTATGTTTTGAGTTACAAAAGAGCAGCACTCCATTGTAGCAGATGAAAGCATGGGATAGAAAAGGAAGGAAAGATCTCGGTTTCTCTGTGTCTTTTCAGCTTCCCCTTTGAGAATATCTGAGTGGTCCTTTCAAGAGGTCCTGATAATTGTATTATTAGAGAGGCAGAGAAAGTTTAAAAGCAGATCAAATCGCAGTCTGGTGTCCTCGGGTCGCTCTGCTGTTGAAATGACAGCTGTAGTCTAACTAAGTTACAGGTATAAGCAATCGCATAGACAGTAACACAGCACTTCTACAGCTGCACAGATTGCTAATATTCACTTATCTGTCATAAACAACAAGGATTTGTCTCTCAAATAAATCTGAGATATTATGCTATCTAGAAATAAAGCAGAATAATAGAATCACAAGGCCAAAAAAAATTTTTAATAAGGGTATCAGTTTTGCTTCTCCCCATCAAGTTAATCAGGAACCCAGAAAGCTGTACTTTGATGTATTTTGAGAGGTTTACTTTTAGTGTTATACTGGTATTTATAAAATATGTCTGTCAAAGAAGACTTGAATTGCAGCAATTTGTTAAAGTTGCACATTTGCTCTAGGAAGGTTGACTTTCCACTTTAGGAAACATGCTAGAAGTTAACGATGTCTTTCGGGAATGAACAATGTTCATGGCCAAATCAGACACACAGATTTCAGCAGTAGGCCTAATTAAAGTGATGGGCGCCGTCATCATTGGTAATGGAGTTAACTTCAGCACTCAATGACTCTCTGTCTATGTCACTTGTTTACTGTCCAACTCTGCAATGATGAAAAACTGACTTATAAAACATGAACCTGTTTTATTTCCCACAGGCCTTCAAACTGCAGCAATGTAAAAAAGGAAAAACAATTACCATGTATTTTCAAAGTGCTCAGCTGAATAATATTCTACAAAATTGCTCCACTGGTACTTACTTATGATGCCTGAGTATCCTATTGATCAAAATTACTTTCTTATAAATTAGAAATTATTTTCCCCAGTAGTTTGACTGACAGGAAAAATAAATAAAATAAAATAAAATAAAATAAAAAGCATGGGTTGTTGACACAAGACAATAATTGTATTTAATATTTAACTTAATATTAAAACCTAATGTAATATTTATATTGTGCATATTTTATATTTAATGTAATACTTTAATACTAATATATTATTTAATATTGTACATATATTTTAATTTAATATTTAATTTAATATTAAAACTTAATTTATTATTTATATTGTACATATTTTAAAGTTTAATCTAATATTGTACATATTTTAGTTTCATTTAATATTTAATTTAATAATACAATTTTACATTTTAATTTAATACTTACTTTACTAATATTTAATTTAATATTAACATTGTATATAATATTTTATATTTGAATTTAATGTAATATTTCACATTTGTTTTGCCTAATGTAATTTAAAATTGTATATGATATTTTATTATTATTGATGCATTCTTTAAAAAAAATATTTTTAATAATTAGATTTTTTTATGGAATTTAATTTAATCAATATTTGACACAAAAATGGATTGAATGCAAAAAAAATTTAAATTATTGAAATACATCAAATATTGACTGTCAAATATTGAGTGCAAAAAAAAACAGATTAACATTACTTTTTGTTTAATTTTAAGTCTAGTGCATTGCATTGGGGGATACAGTATTTGTCAAATGTAGCAGAACATCCAGGTTCTCCAAGTGTACAGAAAATCTGCATACTCTCAAAAACATGCAAACTGCAGTATTTTAGTAGTATGCAATGTCAAACCCAGCCTAAAATGACTAACACATTACTAACATAATTTCCTATTCCTGTATGCCTAATACAGCAACCCCATAGCATCGTTCAGCGCCGTCTCCTGGAGGGCAACATTCCACGTTTGCGTGGAGAGGCCCGGGACGTCCCATCTCATATTCGCTCACCTCTGGCAGACAGCAAAGAGGGTGGAGAGCCGGAGGAGAGGAGCGAGAGCACAGTGGATGACTCCACGGAGGAGAGGGAGTCTCCGGAGGAGAGCGAGAAGAGCCTGAGGTCTGATGAGGATGAGGATGATGAAGACGAAGGGGACAGCAGCGATGCAGGTGGAAAGACAGAGCCCAAACAGAAAAATAAAATGGAAGACGAGACAAAGAAAGGTCTCAAAGAGGGCGAGAGAGCATCCACCCTTTCAGCTCTAGTGGTCCAGTGTAAAGTAAGCATTCACACTGATGAGCTGAGCTCTTTTCAGCCTTTTTCAGCTGTCTGTGTCCATAATAGAAGCGATAACAGTGTGTCATAATGACAAAGCGCGAGCTCTGGCTCCGTATGACTCATGGTTTAATATTCCTTGCAGCTGACTGTTCTCGACGGTCGGGTTTGAGAGGGTATTAGAGGTCCAGTATGCATCTAAAAAGCCCAAATCAGTGATGCACCTCATGCCGAGTTTACAATACAGATGATGTAACTGGGGTGCTAGTGACTCATTGTATGGTGATATAACAACTTTAACACAAGGACAGAAGGAACTAAATAATACCCAAAATGAGATATTATTATAAGACATAATTTTGGGTCATATCTTGTACCATTCAAAAGTCCAGGGTCGATTAGATTTTTAAATGTTTTTGAAAGAAGCATTTATTGAATCAAAAATGCAATAAAACCGTAATATTGTGAAATTGTATTACAATTTAAAAATAACTGTGTTCTATTTTAATATATTTCAGTGTCTTCAGTGCCACATATTCCTTCAGAAATCATTCTAATATGTTGATTTGCTGCTTACAAAAAAAAACACAAACATTTTTTTTTTTTTTTATCAAAGTTGAAAACAATTGTGCTGCTTAATATTTCTATGGAAGCCACAATATATTTTTTTCAGGTTTATTTGATGAATAGGAAGTTCAAAAGAACAACATTTATTAAACACAAGACCAGAGTACTGAACTCAAATTAGACAATCACGAAAATATATTACCTTAGCTTGTCCAGCTCACAGCAAGGTAATAATGAAGGCAAAATGCATAGTTAGCAGAGTTTAATTTGTGTACGGTATTCTACATTTATTATGTGAGAAGAAAGAGACCATAAAGAAATACAAGAGACATGAAACTAGCACAACTACAAAGGAACGCTATTGCCGGAAACAATTATACAAAAAACATTTGGCCATAATGAAGTAAAAGTTGTGCAATAAGACCCAGATTTAAGTTAAATGAATGAAAATTGTCATCTGAGTTTCAGATGAACTGAATGTTCTGGAATACACAAGCAGTCGTATTATCATAGGTGAACTGAAAGACGGAAAGAAACCATCAGCATCTAATTAAAGCTTCGGTAATGAAGAGCCAGATAAGTGGGGCAGCGTTTTATGTAGCAAATCCACCATAGTGGTTCATGCCTCCTCTTCTGGAAAGATAAGTTTCACTTTGAAGTCATGCACGATTTTGGCTCCACGCAGACTTGCCATCATTATAAGTATCACACACGCACCAGTGCACCCACATACACAGACATTTAATAGCAGCAATCAAATAAAGACATAACACAACTCACAAAGGGAGTATCTCACCGAGTTCAACTGTTTTTATAGCATCCATTTGGAGTTTTGCTCCATTTCGCATTTTTAATTCATTTTTATTCTTCAATTTAAATGAGAAAAAAAATCTAAGAAACTAATGTCTTCACTTAAAGGAATAGCTCACGCAAAAGTGAATATTTGCTGAAAATGTACTCAAACTCTTTTACATCTCGGATGGAATGAGCTTGTTTCATCATTGGAACAGATCTGGATAAATGTAGTATTGCATCACTTGTTCATCAACGGATGCTCTGCAGTGAATGGGTGCCGTCAGAATGAGAGTCCAAACAGCTGATAAAAACGTCTCAGTAATCCACACGACTCCAGTCCATCAATGAATGTCTTGTGAAGCGAAAAGCTGCATGTTTATCAGAAATAAATCCATCATTAAAATGTTTTAACTTTTAAACTATTGCTTCTGGTCAAAGTACTAGCCCATAATCCATAATAATGCTTCCTCCCGTGAAAAATTCCATCCTGTGTTGTCCTCTCACATCAAAATCCACTGACATATTTGTTTAGAACTGTTTTCTAGAGACTGTGTGATGGTGCTTGATCTGTGCATATTTCTCTCCTGATTCAGACGAGATGACTTTTTCACTGGAGAAAGCAATATTATAGATAGAGGATTCATATATTAGCTGGAATGATGGATTTGTTTCTTACAAACACACTGCTTTTCATTTCACAACACATTCATTGATGGGCTGGAGTCGTGTGATTTACTTGTGGATTATTGTGATGTTTTTATCAGATGTTGGACTCTGACGGCACCCACTCATAGCAGATGATCTATTGGTGAGCAAGTCATGTAATGCTAAATTTCTCCAAATCTGTTCCAATGAAGAAACAAACTCCTTTAATTTTAATCTTACATGATGTCACCTCAATGTGTTTATGTGGACGTGTTTAATTCAGGGTTTCTTGCACTGCAACAAAAGCACTTTCAACACAGCACTAGAAACCTAGCAGAGGAAGGAACAAGTGTGAAACAATCTAAGGAAACCTGCGTGTCTGTGCAAGTGTTTGTGAAACCTGCTAGCTGGGACGGAACAATGTGTGAGATGGGCTTAACTGCCCCCCATGTTTGCACGCTCTGGTGCGTCCCACCCTTTATGTGGTAGGAAAGTTGCGGGGGTGACGGCTCACCTTGAGTGACAGGAAACTCAAAGATGTTGCAAAAAAGCTCTCATCCACTTATTTATCTTTAACGGTAGAACAGTGCTGACACAGACCTCATCCCTCACTCATTAAATGTGTAGTTAGAAAACAGGCAAAGAGCAAAACCAAAGCTTGACAACGCTTTAGCTGTGTGTAGGTGGAGCCACAAACGGGTTCCAAATCCCTCAAAATATCTCAGCTGAGGCTTCCCCTCAAGCTCCCACGACACTAATTAACTAAATAATAATACTAATATTTTTATTATTATTGTTGTTGCTATTATTATTATTATTATAAGTATTATATATTAAACTTATTCAATACATAGTATTATTATTATTATTATTATTATTACACAACTCTCTGAAATACTTCATTCCAGATCCAGATCACATATTTTTGTTAATGGCCATATTTATCAAGGGCACATTTACTTGAAAGGATGTCATTATTATTACAATTATTAAATATTAAGTTAAATTATACATAGTTATATGTACAATTAAGATTGTAACAGCACTGACAACTTTAGGTGCTTTTAATAAAATTATATTTCCACTACAACTTAAATATACAAACCTGTACAAAAATACAAATACTTATGCAAACATATATCTAGGGAAAGAATTAAACTAAAAAAAGAATGTTTAAACATAATGTGCATACGTGCAAACACAAAAAGTCTAAATGAAACGTAGTTTTTTTTTCTCCCTGATCTGTTAAGAAAACGGCTATTATTATTATTATTATTATTATTATTACAACGCTCTCTAAAATACTTCAGAGAATGAAATGTTTTTGTTAATGGCCATAATTGCTGTACAAAATTAAGTACAAATGCCATTATTATTACATTTATTAATTATTAAATTAAACTGTGTATATTTTTTTTTATAGGGAATTATGATTGTAACAGTGTTGACACAACTTTTCATTTTTAATAAATTCTATTTCCACTACAATACAAAATATAAAAACTTTATAAAAGTGAATAAAACGTTTGTCTATTTTTCCCCCAAACAAAATGTGCATTTTTGCTCATAGGAAGTAAGAAAAGCCGAAATAAAAAAACAAAAACCACCATTTAATTCTTTATTCTAATTTTTTGCTGATCTACTGAGAAAAATGGCACAAGTAACACATATTAATAGCTGGAGTCAGTATTCACTGCTGTGACTTGTTTACACAAATGTTAATGTGGTATGAGCCAAAACATGCAGGATCCATCAGAAGACAAGCGGATGGCTAATGAGTTAAAATATCCACTGATTCTGTTAATACCGAACAAATTATTTACACAGAAATGTCAAACAAGCAGCATGAACAGGCACTTAGAGCTTCCAAAGAGCAAATGCTGCAAAAGCACAGGGTCATTATTCATCGGTCTAGCTCTGAATTCTGCAAGCACTGATGGAATTTCAGGTGAAAGGACAGACTGAGAATAAACCGACTCACTGAAGCGAAACGTCAGGAGTACCTTTGATAGTGACGGTCCATTATTAACCAGAGCTATTATCCTCAGACGGTATTAAACTATCAATCCTGATACTGTCAGACGGTGCAAAAACAAAACCTGGCATTGCCTATTTAAAAGAACAAAAGCTAATGCTGTGCTGTGCTTCAACATAATGTAGTGTCTCAACTTGGCATCTGTGTGAAACTAGCTGGCAGACTAAGCTATGTTGTTAGACTCTGACTGATAATGTGTTTTGCTATTTAAAATTCCTGTCACATGAATATATATTTTATCAGGGAATATATATTTTATCGGGGAAAGACCAAATGTTTATTTTGCAGTGCGATGATGCAGAGGTGATGTTATCCATAAACACAGGGTGCCAACACAACCACATCTCTAAAACATGCTGCAGACGACTTAGGTAAGTGTATTCTACACACACACACACACACACACACACACACACACACACACACACACACACACACACACACACACACACACACACACACACACACACACACACACACACACACACACACACACACACAGAGTTTGCTGATAAATTGTGGTATTTTTGATGTTTTGCAGTGAAAACCCATGCACCAATCATTATCAATTTATGTAATTTTATTAGTGAAACTGAGCGTCCAGTTTCCTGTAAATATTTTTTTTATCCATAATTACTGAAATCAACTGAACAAACAGACACATTTTTTTTCAAATGAATTTTTATTTAATTAAAAAGTCTCTTATGTTCACCGTGGGTGCATTTATTTGATGAAAAATGCAGTAAAAACAGTAATATTGGGAAATATTTTTACAATTTAAAATAACTGTTTTATATTGGAATATATTATAAAATGTAATTTATTCCTTTGATGGCAAAGCTGAATTTTCAGCATCCATTACTCCTGTATTCAATGTCACATAATCCTTCAGAAATCATTCTTATATGCTGATTTGTTCATCAAGAAACATTTATTATTATTATTATTTGTAATTTTATTTATTTCAGGTTAATGCTGATCTTTTGACATTTCTAGAATCCAGAATGCGGAAAGAAATGTATCACAAAAATATGAAACAAAAAATGACAATATTTCCTAAGTGCTTGTATTGTCTGCAGATTGAAAACCAACCTTGAAGACAAACCTCATGACAAGCTGCCACTCAGTGATTCGACAGTGGAGACTGTGAAGTCCCTGCACCTGCAGCTGGGCAGAGAAAGAGTGCAATGCACTGCCCAGGTCATAGGTCAGACTTCAAAGTTTCTCCAGTCACTTCTGAAAATGCACTGCCTATTGCTTTTTAAAACGCTGTCCAAGAAAACATATACGATTACCCCATGTTTCATAGATTTCATTTGAATAGAGAAGAGCTGAGAGACATCCAGGACATTCTCCTAAGTGTTTGGTACTCTCAGAACTGGTTCCAACCAGTCATGTCTAAATATAAGTTTAATGCAACAGAAAAGTCTTATGAGAGTGCAATAGTCATAGTCATATACATTTCTTCAACTTGTAAATTCAGCATTCAGACTGAGCCATTGACCTTTTCCAATTCAGACAGCAGTCTGGGAAAGCTCAGACAAAGAGACGTGGGCAACACAGAGGAATTTCATAACAGACGAGTACATGACCTGGGCACAGTGCCGGCCGTGTCTTCTGCATGCATTGCATACAGATATATTATAAAGCTACTAATGGCACCAGTTTTAATCAAGCCTCCTCATGTGCTCTACTAATTAGAGAAAGAATAAAATGATGCCTAAAGGGGATACACTTTCTCTCTTTGTCTCCCACATTTTGAGTCTCATCTCTTGTCTGTTCACAGAGGACGCCACATTTGAGGTGTGTCTGGGTCTACAGACTCTGCTGGAACTCAAAGTAAGCCCTACATTTGTTTAACCTCATTTTCAGAGTCTTGTAATGTATGGTTTCTAACCCACTAGTCTTTGGCTTTCGAAAGTTTTGCATTTTCAGTTTGAGATTAAAATGCATGAAGTCTTTTTTGAAAACTGCTGCTGCAGATCATGCTGGTCATCTAGATCAAATGTTTTTAAACTTTTTAATGCCACTTACCCCAAATATGATGATTTCCTTGCGTATATTTTTATAAATATTTATATATATTTGATTAATGTCATTTTAACCTTTTTACCAGTCTTTAGCAGAATGACAATGACAAATTCTGTATCCCCCCCATATTTTGTTATTATTAATTAATAATAATAAATAATGTTTTTAATCATTTTGACACTATTTTTTTCAACCTTTTCCTTTACCCCCATTCTGAAAACCCCTGATCTAGATCACATCTTCATACGTATAAATGAGACTTAATAAATGCAAATTACAATCTTATATTCATAGTTTAATTGTAAAACTTATAATCATACTTTAATTGCCAGTCTCAAAGATATTTACATGTATTTACATAATTTAGCAAAAGGGACTTTTTTAATCAAAAGTGACTTGTATGATTTTGATCATGATCAAAAGTGACTTGAAATGCTATCAGTTTTATCAGTAAATCATAGCGGAAGTGATTACAGATATAACATGAAGTAAATTTAATTATGAAATAGCGTATATTTTTATAAATATTTATATATATTTGATTAATGTCATTTTAACCTTTTTACCAGTCTTTAGCAGAATGACAATGACAAATTCTGTATCCCCCCCATATTTTGTTATTATTAATTAATAATAATAAATAATGTTTTTAATCATTTTGACACTATTTTTTTCAACCTTTTCCTTTACCCCCATTCTGAAAACCCCTGATCTAGATCACATCTTCATACGTATAAATGAGACTTAATAAATGCAAATTACAATCTTATATTCATAGTTTAATTGTAAAACTTATAATCATACTTTAATTGCCAGTCTCAAAGATATTTACATGTATTTACATAATTTAGCAAAAGTGACTTTTTTAATCAAAAGTGACTTGTATGATTTTGATCATGATCAAAAGTGACTTGAAATGCTATCAGTTTTATCAGTAAATCATAGCTGAAGTGATTACAGATATAACATGAAGTAAATTTAATTATGAAATAGTAGAGAAGCAAGCAGCAAAGCAGTTCTGAGGCTATGTTAGGTTCTGACACTAAGTAGGAGTACATGATGGGGGAGTTCTTTTTTGAGCATATATCTAAATATTGAATCAGCTCTGAATATGGTTTGAGATTTTCAAATGCCAGGGGGGAAAAAATTCCCCTTTGAGGTTTACACGAGTTATGAGAAGGAAGCTAAACACTATTAAAAGAACAGAAGATCCCTTTTAAAGTACGATAGAGTGAGCTAAAAAAAAGGGGACAAGAGAGAGAAAGCTTGAGAATGAAAGTGCGAGTATGCAAATTACTATTCTTGTAAGAAGAAAAGATAATGTATGCAAGGAGAAGGATCCATGAAGCCAGCGCAGGCCTATGTGCAGACAATAAACTGCAGAATAAAGCATTTCAGCCACTTTGTTCACCTGAAATATATAAATACTCCTCAGACTGTTACAGTAGCAAAACAACAACCTCAAACATGTTCACCAATTTTGCTCTACAAAGGCACAATACAGTAATTACACTTTGTCAGACCTAAGCTGTGACCGAAACCAGGTCTTCAGACTATGATCAGATTCAGAGAAGACAGACTGTGAAAAACGTTATCAAATAAATCAAAGTTTAATATAAAAAGGCCACTTTTCTTAGTTCCAGTGTTGCTGTCGTTACTGCATCTTGAAATGTCCTTGCTCATAATTCTTATCAAATAAAAGTAATTTAAAACAAAGTTCAACAAGAAAATCTTTGTTTATACGTTTACAATAGTTTTAAAATCTTGAAAGACTGCAGCTTGAAATTTATACACGCCAGACAGACAAAGAGAGACAGAGAGAGAGATTTGCATGGTTGCTAGGCAGTTGCGTGGGTGTTCTAACTGGGTGATTGTTACTAAGATGCTGGTTGTTAGGGTATATCTAAGTGGCTGCTAAGGTGTCATGATTGGTTGCTAGGGCAGAGACAGATAGATAGACATTTAGGCAAAGTGACAGATTGCATGACAGTATTATTGATAGATAGAACGATAGATAGAACAACATACAGATAGAATGACAGACAGACAGAATAACTATAGCATAATACACTAGATGTGATGCAGTGATCTGCTCTCTATTCCAGTGCTGTGTGGACCTGAACTCCAGAGTGCTCCGGCTCCACAGCACAGAGCAGGAGCTTCCCTTCCTGGATCCACCTGCCTGCAGCCAGTGCCATCACCATGACAGCAACAAAAACATGTGACCTCGGACCTACGTGCCCAACAGCTGCCATGACCGTACCCAAGTAATCAGAGAGGAAGTTGACAGAAGGATGCCTGCATCTGGACTGTAGTGTTCCCTTGTGCCAGATCAACATAGACAGGCCTCTCCTCTCTCATCTTTCCTTCTTTGTTCTTCGTTGTTTGTTTTTGTGCTATTACAGAAATCTGCCAATTATGATTTTTCATTATTATTTGCTGTGCTAAACTAGTTTTGATTAAATGTAATAAAGCTCAGGAGGAGGAAGATTGTGTTCTGACATTTTAAAACTGCCTTCATCGAAATGAAAAATGGGGTGCACAGCTAATCCTTAAGAAATTGAACTGCTTGAAGATTGATGAGTAATATTCTCTAACTTGTGATTTTAATTACAATCAAAGTAAATTATATTCTTATACATTAATGTAACAGAGAGTCTCCTACACAATCACCAAAACTGATTTTATACTTTTAAATGTAAAAAAAAAAAAAATCAGCAAGTTTCTTCTGCAAAACCTCAAATTTACCTAGAAATCTCTCGTCAGAAACTGCCTTTTACTAACGAAGACTGTGTTTTCAAACCTCATTTCCCTTTAGAAAGCCAACTCTGCCCTTAGATGATAAGAAGGACTTCAGCCAGCCCAATCAAATGTTAATTGAGCCCTTGGGCTGCAATCTCACTCAATGACCCCCAAACCAAGCAAAACACTTCATCTGCATGATTTTATAGACTTCCCCCTAGTATTTTTCTGTTTTTGGTGTGTAGGACTGAGTAAATGCAATGATTGTCACCTGCAAGAAACACTATTAAAAGAACAGAAGATCCCTTTTAAAGTATGATAGAGTGAGCTAAAAAAAAGGGGACAAGAGAGAGAAAGCTTGAGAATGAAAGTGCGAGTATGCAAATTACTATTCTTGTAAGAAGAAAAGATAATGTATGCAAGGAGAAGGATCCATGAAGCCAGCGCAGGCCTATGTGCAGACAATAAACTGCAGAATAAAGCATTTCAGCCACTTTGTTCACCTGAAATATATAAATACTCCTCAGACTGTTACAGTAGCAAAACAACAACCTCAAACATGTTCACCAATTTTGCTCTACAAAGGCACAATACAGTAATTACACTTTGTCAGACCTAAGCTGTGACCGAAACCAGGTCTTCAGACTATGATCAGATTCAGAGAAGACAGACTGTGAAAAACGTTATCAAATAAATCAATGTCCAGTGTTGCTGTCGTTACTGCATCTTGAAATGTCCTTGCTCATAATTCTTATCAAATAAAAGTAATTTAAAACAAAGTTCAACAAGAAAATCTTTGTTTATACGTTTACAATAGTTTTAAAATCTTGAAAGACTGCAGCTTGAAATTTATACACGTCAGACAGACAAAGAGAGACAGAGAGAGAGATTTGCATGGTTGCTAGGCAGTTGCGTGGGTGTTCTAACTGGGTGATTGTTACTAAGATGCTGGTTGTTAGGGTATATCTAAGTGGCTGCTAAGGTGTCATGATTGGTTGCTAGGGCAGAGACAGATAGATAGATAGACATTTAGGCAAAGTGACAGGTTGCATGACAGTATTATTGATAGATAGAACAACATACAGATAGAATGACAGACAGACAGAATAACTATAGCATAATACACTAGATGTGATGCAGTGATCTGCTCTCTATTCCAGTGCTGTGTGGACCTGAACTCCAGAGTGCTCCGGCTCCACAGCACAGAGCAGGAGCTTCCCTTCCTGGATCCACCTGCCTGCAGCCAGTGCCATCACCATGACAGCAACAAAAACATGTGACCTCGGACCTACGTGCCCAACAGCTGCCATGACCGTACCCAAGTAATCAGAGAGGAAGTTGACAGAAGGATGCCTGCATCTGGACTGTAGTGTTCCCTTGTGCCAGATCAACATAGACAGGCCTCTCCTCTCTCATCTTTCCTTCTTTGTTCTTCGTTGTTTGTTTTTGTGCTATTACAGAAATCTGCCAATTATGATTTTTCATTATTATTTGCTGTGCTAAACTAGTTTTGATTAAATGTAATAAAGCTCAGGAGGAGGACAATTGTGTTCTGACATTTAAAATTGCCTTTATCGAAATAAGGGGGGGGGGGGGGGGGGGGGGGCAGAGACAC